TGCCATGACTACAGCTGTAAGTGCCAGGTTCAACAAATCAACAGTATCACGGGCTCTGCAGCCCTCTCTTGTGGGAGCAAGCAGTCTAAAACCTTGTAGTTTAATGCTGTGCCAAGAATGACGTGTGACATTATTTTCTGTTGAAAGATTCCCTCTACAGAATTTTTAACACATCCATGTATTTTATTTCTATTTTTTTTTCTATTTCTATTTTAAAGACATGACATGAACGAAATGTGCAGTGAGCACTATGTCTTCGGACTTCCGATCTTGAAATTGGAGTATGCTGGTGACAGTTTCTTAAAAACACTGATTCAGACTTCTGCGGTTTCAAACGGAACAAACTTAAAAATAATCTCGTCAACCTGGAGAGAAGGGCTCCAGGTTGTTCTCATTATTCTTCTTTGGAATTGATATTTGGTTTGTAGGTGAGATGCTGTGGTGGACCTGCAGAGATTGGGGAGGGATGGGGTGAAGAGAGAGGTGGTGACTTAATGAATCTGTAAATTGTAGTTACGTCTCACTCACTTTAAGGTAGAAAGGGTTCATTTAAAGAAAAACAAAGCAAAAAACGAAACAAAACTCAATGGGTATCTTTGATAAAGAGAGATGAGTTTTGGGGGGTCTAACAATTAACCAGAGAGGAACATTAACTTTAACAACTGGCATCTGAGACCACATGTAGAAAAACCCTTCAAGTTGCATCTAGTGTTGAAGTATTTGATACTTAGCCTGTAGTATAATGTCAACCAATGTCTCAGTCCTGGTGTTGCTACAACTGTGCCATGCACATGGGAAGCTGCTCCTGCTCTGGATCTTGTCGATACCATGGCAACTGTTGCTATGTTGCTGTTCTGCACCCCTCTCTGGCTGAAGGAATCACTCTGTCAAATTCCTCAGTGCTCATACAGACCTGGTGTGGCAATGTTTGTTTTTCACACTTGGGGAATAATCAGCTGCTGTGCCATCATGTTTGTTTTACACAGTAAAAAAAAATGATTTAAAAAATCAATTAAAATTACTTTATTCTCCTTTCTCTGTCATGTAGGGTACTGCCACTACAGCACTTATGCACCCACCACAGGTATGAAAACCTCTCAACAAACTGAATTTGTAAGAGTCAGGTGTGCCCTTAGTTGTTTCATATGTTTTAACACTTACTTGTTTCACAGCTCAGCCCTCGTGTCGTTACAACTGCGGCAGACACATGGGAAGCTGCTCCTGCTCAAGCTCTTGTCGATACAATGGCAACTGTTGTCATGACTACTACTGTAAGTACTCTGTCCCTCAAAGCTCATGAGAGAAGCCCCTGCACACAGTGAACAGAGTGTCTGCTGAAAAGTACTTGGAATCACACTAAAATTCACTACTTCTGACATTATTCCACAGGCAAGACTTTTAGAATTTGCTGACTTACCATACCACAAGTTCCCAAAGAAACAGACTGTATGTAAGGCTGCTATACAGGTTGTGAAGTGAGTCATTGGCTTTGAGTGACAGACTGTCCGTTTCATGAAGTTATTCAGTAGAAATGGTTGAACATGCCATTTGATGTTTGAAAGTTGATGGCGGCAAAAGGGGGGGATAGGGGTTTCAGAAGCTGCTCAACCATCTGTCAAGAAGCTCTGGTAGATTTGCTTCCTTGCTATCACTGACTGCAAATGACAATATTTTCCTGCAGTAAAACACAGGCTCTTGCTGCCGGTTCTAAAAGCTTCAGGAGCAGGAACTTTGTCCTCATTTAGTCTGCCTGTCTCTTGAAAATTTCCCTACTTCATCAATCCATCCATCAGCTATACTGACTTTATCCCATTGAGGGTTAAGAAGCCTATTCCAGCTGAGGCAGCGCGAGAGGCAGAACACAAAGAAACTGGCAACCTTGCATATTCATATTCACGTCTACGAACAATTTCGAATCACAAATTTAGCGACTGTGCGTGTCTTTGGACTGTGGGAGGAAGCTGGAGCACCCAGAGAAAGCTCACACAGGTAAAAGGAAGAACATGCACACGCCTCAAGGAAACCTTAAATACTATGTAGTGCTATGGCAACTGTTGTCATGACTCCCACTGGAAGTATCATGTAATGCACATCTCACCACACGTGTGTATTTTTTTTGTTTTTTAAAATTTAATTCTGAAACCTTTTTTTTGTTTGTTTGTTTCTTTAAACAGCCTACTGCTCAACCACAACTCACTGGCCATTTTCCACAGGTAGGATCCTCAGTGTGCAAAGTTAGCTGGCGGCAATGATGGTTCATTGTAATGACATCTTCTCCACCTTCAGCAAAGCCATGTGGAGGCTTGCTGTTTGGCTCTGGCACCTTCTCCAGCCCTAACCACCCCAACCACTACCAAGACTACACCTACTGCATCTGGCAGCTCAAAGCTTCTCATAGCCAAAGAGTCTTCCTCACATTCAACTACATGGAGTGAGTACAGACTAATATAAATAACTGAGCTGAGGGCAGTTATGAATTTGTGGTAATGATTTTTTGATTTTCAAAAACATATACCAGACTGGACAGCTGCTGCTCCTGTGACTACATCAAAGTCTACGACGGTTCTTCTATTCATTCGAGATTTTTGGGGAGAGTTTGCAACAGCAGTCAAGCCTCGTTCTACTCCTCCTCCCAGTACATGACCGTGCTCTTCCGCACTGATGGCTCCTTGGTTGGTCGAGGGTTCAGTGCTGAGTTCATGAGCACTCTGCACCGAAGCTCAGGTAAAAATGGAATCCACAGTAGGTATAAATACTGAGATTATATTTGATCATATACGACCCTTGTGGATTAATTTAGTTGCTATGAAAGTCATTTGTAATGCACACTAGGCACTAAACCAGAGGATATTTTTGGCCTGTTTCTTTCATATTTACCATATTTGTTGCAAAATGAAAAGTTAGGTGATTGCTCCATTACTACAGTTCATCCTAAGGGGGCTAGAATATCTGTACCAGTTTTCATTATAATCCATTCAGTAGTCTCATTTGAACCTGTAAATGTGAATTTTACACTGGCACCACAGAAAAGAATCAGAGGATCACCAAAGTCAATCCATCCGGTGCTTGTTGAAATACTTCATCTGGAACCAAAGTAACAGGCCAACCAACACCAGTGGAGTGGCCAACATCTAAACTTTGTGTATTGTTTGTGTGTGATTCACGGTGTTGTACTTGTCTTGCGAATGCCGTCCCGTGTCAGGTCGAGTGGAGTGCTCCTCAGACAAGATGAACATTGTGATCAACAGGAATTACTTGGCCTCTGTGGGCTATGAAGGCCACGATCTGTACCTGAATGAGCCCAGCTGCAGACCGTATTACAATTCCAGAAACGAGGTGGTCTTCAGTTACCCCATCAACAGCTGTGGCAGCGTTAAAACGGTAACGCTGGTTCACTTACTGGAATGAACTGACAACATATGGCATTTTTCAATAATTCTTCTGCAAATTACTGTCACAGAAAGGATATACATGCAAGTCATTTATTTCTCTGTATCCCCTACGTTGGACAGATCAATAGCAATGGCACAGTTATTTACGCCAACAACGTCCGTGCCTACAACTCCTCCACTTCCGACCAAGAGATCACACGCCAGAGTCACTTCGAGCTCAGCGTCAACTGTCGAATGGAGAAGGACTCGGTGTCCCAGAATATGTATATTGTCCATAATCCTGGCAACAGCAGCATTATAGGCACAGGCAGATTCAACACCACCATGTATTTCTACACATCCAGCAGCTTCTACTACACGGTGTGTTTAAGTAGCAAAGTGGTTAAATTCCTCCTGTAAACACACAATGCTGACGTGTTGCTTTTGCACCCTCAGGTCACTGAAAATCCTTATCAGGTGTCACTCAACCAGTACTTGTATGTTGGAGTGGTACTATGGGGGAATGACAACAGCATGGTGGTCTTTCTGGACACCTGCGTGACCTCACCATCTCCTGATGATTTCCACAGCAGGTCTTACTACTTGGTCCGTGATGGGTAAGATGAGAGTTGCCTTGGTTGTGCCGTTTTTTTGTTTTTTTTTTGCTTTAGACTTATTTGGCCAGCGCCCCGCATCCAGGAAGTGTAAAAATGAGTCTTATAGCGTGCAGTAAAGACTCATTTTAGATCTGTTATTAATACAAATATTGTTAATATGGCAAAAGAATATGAATGTTATTCATTTTATTATTGTTTTGTTAAAATTCATTCAAATTTAATATTGCATTTGAGAACTACTTGCTACTGCTGGTTTTGTGTTGGTGTTGTGTTGTTTTTTTCTAGTGTAGTAATTTCCCTGAGGTTTTGTACCAAAGGGCTCAATAAAGTTTTATTCTAATTCTAATTCTACTTTTTATCTGGTAATTAGTTGTGGGGCGACGCCCCTGCATCCCGTAACCCGCCGCTACTGTTTGCTATACTACACTACTACTTACATGTTAAGGGTTGTGAAAACACACCCTGTATTTTCCAATCACATTGTTTCTGTTTTACTTTTAGATGTCGTGCAGATAGCACCTACTATTCCTACAGTAGTGGCACTCGCCCCTACGCCCGTTTTAGATTTAAAGCCTTCCAGTTCATGCATGCCACACCGTCGGTATACATCCAGTGCAAGGTCCAGGTATGCCCAGCCTCTGACACCAGCTCACGCTGCCGCCGTACCTGCAATAGACGTACAGCCAGAGACCTGGGGTCAGACCATGACAGCCAAACTCTGGTTCTGGGTCCTATTCAGCTCAAAGGTCTGTAAACACATGTACATTGTTTGGACATCATCAGTGTTGACATGTTTTGGGCTGTGACAAAGAATAAGATGTGTTACTATTCTCTTCTCCAGACACTGAGAAAAAGGAAGAAGGGAGTGACGAGCAGAACAAGGCTTAACTTTACACTCCAGTGACATACTCGAATCAACTTTTAATATCTCTTTCCATCCTGTTCGCTGTGACACAAATTATACTCACCTTTTCTTTTCTTTTCTTTTCTCTTCATCATATTACCTGATTAAAAGCATCATCAAAAGACAATCGCTGTTTCTCGTCTTTATTATGCCACACCCTTTAATCAAATAGTAAATATGCTGTTCATTTGTGTTCTTAACCCTCTGAACCCTAAAAACCTGCTGTCAAGTTTGAAAATCATGTTAAAATGATCGCCAATATCACACCATTTATTAGAGCCAGGAACTGTAAAAACTAATACAATCATCTTTTAGACTTTCTAAGAGTCCTTGAACTACTCCTCTGTGATGTGGTGTGCCATCAGGAAAGTAATCTAAGTCTTTTACCCTTTTAACAAAGTAAGTGAAGCTACCATGATGGTGGTCAAGGAAGGGCACTGTATGGAGGAACTGCCAAACAACACAACAAAGTCTAGTTAAACAACTGAGCTAGCTGACCAAAAACCACTGATACAAAGTTTGGTCAGGTTTTACTGTCGATGCCACCTATGTNAATCAACTTTTAACATCTCTTTCCATCCTGTTCGCTGTGACACAAATTATACTCACCTTTTCATTTCTTTTCTTTTCTCTTCATCATATTACCTGATTAAAAGCATCATCAAAAGACAATCTCTGTTTCTCGTCTTTATTATGCCACACCCTTTAATCAAATAGTAAATATGCTGTTCATTTGTGTTCTTAACCCTCTGAACCCAAAAACCTGCTGCCAAGTTTGAAAATCATGTTAAAATGATCGCCAATATCACACCATTTATTAGAGCCAGGAACTGTAAAAACAAATACAATCATCTTTTAAACTTTCTAAGAGTCCTTGAACTACTCCTCTGTGATGTGGTGTGCCATCAGGAAAATAATCTAAGTCTAACCTTTGATTTGTGATATTGCATCTAAAATAGTTGATATTACATTAAGAAGTTAACCAAAACAAAAACATAGTTCTGACCACACTTTTATAAACACACAGAAACAAATATGTGCTCCTAGGCACACCTGAGAAACAATGAATGACTCAGCTGTGACCAACAGCCACATGGCAACAATTGCACGACTTTACAGCTGAAAGGGGATGAACTGCAGGCTGTGCTTTCACAGAACAGATAGGAGACACACATGGAAACTAATTAAAACTGTGAGTAGTGAAATATCCATAGTATGTAGAGTCACACATTGTTCCAACGTTGGTGATACCTGTGGGCACTTGGAAAAATGTTTTGTGAATCAAAGAATCAAAGAAATTCAATTTCTTTCTTTTTTAGGATTTATAGCATTGTAACTATATTATACTGCACAGAAGACATTCTGGAAAGTTCTCTCTACTTTAACCATGATTGTACTCACTTTCAGTGGAGGTGCAGTACTTTAAAGTGCAGTGAAAAATGAGCCCACAGTGAGTAAAAATGTGACCGCTTGGGGTTCAGTGGATTAAATACAAAGATAACGATGGAGAAAAAGAAAACGGAAGACAAAGCGCATTTCAGTTAGAAAACACTTTACTTATAAATTAGTTAGAGTAATCCATCTCACAATAAAATGATTTGCCATCCCAGAGGGAGAGAGTGATCGCCAAAAGGCTGAAACATTCACCATTACCTATGAACCTACGACACACTGAGAGAACATAAGGCAGTCATTACTGGATGTCCCCATTACTGGTCAGCATGGTAACAAGGAGGTGGTCCTAAAAACAGCAACTATGTTCTCCACACATGTTGCTAAGCAACAGACAACAGTACCCAAGACACAGGACAACCTTGCTAAAGTAGCAGTCTTACTGTAACACGATTTTGCTTTTTTGACACTGAACATCTATCCAACCATTCAGAATACAATACTCTGTAAATATTCAGAAAAGCACTGGGATCCATATGATGAATGGGAATCTCAGTGTCTGTTATCACAAAGGCTAAAATGTGGCAACCCCAGTGCTACTGAGTGCTACAATTCTGAAAAAGTGTTCACATGAGACACAAGACGTAGTGATTCTGTCCTAAACACAGAGATACCGGATATCAAAGTGACTTCATACAATATCAAAAGATCAGAATAAGACAAGATGTAATTAAAAGGATATCCAAAACCCTTTTAACAAAGTAAGTGAAGCTACCATGATGGTGGTCAAGGAAGGGCACTGTATGGAGGAACTGCCAAACAACACAACAAATTCTAGTTAAACAACTTAGCTAGCTGACCAAAAACCACTGATACAAAGTTTGGTCAGGTTTTACTGTCGATGCCACCTATGTGCTAGAGCTGGCATTGAGTCTGAAGTTTCTTAGCAGCATTCATTGAGCACAATTTTGGCAAAAAAGAAAAGAAAAAGAAAAATAACATAAAAAAAACTGAGGAAAAAAAAAACATGGCTACCATAGAAAACTACAATAGCCAAACTTTTTACTAAGGTTCTGGGTCTATTTGTTATTGGAATAAGAGGTTATTGTAAAATCTATAAGTCTTCAAAGTAACAGTCCTCTCTATCTTGGACACACACGAATGTGACTAGGTCAGGCACTGCAAAGAAATAGTAATAATGCACCAAGCACTGAAATAATTTCAACAAGGCTTAAATAAGATCACTCAAGGCCAACAGTTTCACTCCTGAGTTAGTTTCATCAGAGCAA